GGGAGGGGAGGGTGTGTGTGCTCCAGCCCTGACTCGTTCCTGGGGAGCTGTGGTGCTGGGCCACTCTGGAGCTTTGGGTTCTTGGGCACATCCCTTAGTCTCTCTCAGCCTCAGCTTCTTCATCCTTCAAGTGGGTGGAACACGAGATCCCCACCTCTCCCCCCGCCCTGGGCACACCTCCCAGCCTTGTGCACGGGCGCCCTTTTTAATGCTTTCATGGTGCCTTATTCATCCTTTCAGCCCATGGACATTCATGGAGCACCTCCCGGGTGCGGTGTTGGGCCTGGGTTTACGGGGTGAGTGAGACCGCCCTCCCTGCCCCTGTCCAGACAGAAGGCAGGTGTGAAACCAGGGTCGCTTGATGCAAGCTGGGTGGGCCATGGAGTCAGAGGACAGCCCTGCCTGGCGGTGGGCGGGGTCTGGGAGAGGTGCTGGTGTATCTCGCTGTCTCCCCCGCTAGCGCTCCCACCTGAGGCCGTGTCTTTTGGCTGTGAGGCCTCAGCTCCAGCAGGAGATGCTGACAGGATGGTTGTTGGAGTGAATGAGGGGGCAAATGAGTGAATGGCTGGGGTCTAGGCCCCTTTCCCTGCAGAGCCCAGCCCCTCCCCGGGCTGTCCCAGTGGATCCAGGCTGGGCCAGGCTTGTACCCGCCTCCTCTCCTCCCAGGTTCCTGGCTGGGGCCCGAGGGCCTCTCTCCTGCCGGCCTGACTGGGTCAGGGAGCTGTAGGTCATTGGGTGAGGAACCTAAGCCATCATGGTCACAGTGTGGCCTGCTGTTGACAGACGAGGAAACCGAGGCCCAAGGGTCAGGGCTGTCGGGCAGGGCTAGGGTTACAGCACCCGCGGGCTGCTCCTTGGGCGTGGCCCTGGCGTGCTGGCCCGGCTGCGTATTTATAGTCTCTGCTGATCTATATTAACACCGGCCGGCCCAGGCCGTCGCAGCCTGTGGATCGCAGGATGGCTTTGAACCCTCTGGGGGCCGTGGAATCAGAGCTTGCTTTTCCCTTCACCGCCCTGGCGCACATCCTGGGCCCTTTGCCTGGAGACCGTCCCCTGCCTGGGCCTGGGCCGGGCGGCTCTTTGGCGGGCTCGGCGTCTGTCTGCGGTTTGTTGTCGTGCCGCGCTTCCCTCCAGCTCTGCAGGGAGACGTGTACACAGCATGGCTGTGAGTGCATGGGCTGCGAGGCCTTGGGCAGGCCGCCCCTCTCCGAGCCTCAGTTTCCTTCTCTGTGGAATTGGGCGTAATCCCCACCGATGTTGTGGGCCAGCCTCTGAGCACTCCATGCTCCGGAGCTGGAGTCGCTCCTCACGCCTCTCCTAGTTCTTGTCACGAGCCGTGTCAGAGCCCCTGGGGACTCGAGTGTCATCTCCACTGCAGAGATGAGGCTGCCGAGGCCCCAGGGGCGCCATCACTTGCCAGGGCCATGCTGCCTGTTGGGACAGAATTCGGACTCATCTAAGTCCGAATGTGCCAGCTTCCCAGACCCCTTCTCCTTCCCAGGGCCCTCGTGGTCCTTGGGAGGACAGACTCCTCACCCACAAGCTTGGTTCCCACCCCTGTCGCCATGGGAACAGCTCCACTAACTCTATGCTTCTCTTACAGAGCAGAGACGACTGGCCGCCCTGAGCGCAATTCAATTCAACAGACATTTACTGAGTGCCTACTATGCGCCAGGCCTTAGGCTAGGCACTGGGGTGGGGGAGCAGAGAGGAAGATGGGGCCCCGTCCTCAGGTAGCCCTGGGCTGGGGGGCTTGGAGAAGACAGGCCAGGGCTGAACAGCAGCTCGGAGCCAGGAGACAAGCTGCCTGCAGGGCTGGAAGCAGCAGAGATACCTGGGTTCCAGTTCATCCCTGGAGAGCTTCGTCCCTTGTCTGTGCCTCAGTTTGCCCATCTGTAAAATAGGGGGGAAGGGGAGGGGTGAGACAGTCTCTAGGGTCCTCCCAGGATTCCGTGGGGGTGGAGTCAGGGGATGGGGTAGAGCAGGGAGGCTTGTCACCCCCTGCAGAGGGAGTCTCTGAAAGTTTCTCCCGGCTGCAGAGGGTAGGGAAGTGTGGGAGTGGCACCCCAGGCTCAGAAACAGCTTGACAGAGGCCAGAGGACATACAGAGGGGCAGCCCTGCAACTCGGTAGGTGGTGAGAGGTCATGGGGTCTGAGCTTAGAGAGGGAGGGAGGGGCCCAAGGGCTATACTGGGGGACGAGAGCTCTATTTTGTGGGCTGTTGAGGATGGACGTGGAGAACAGATGGTCCTGCTTTGTCCTGCGCCCTTCTCCTCCCCTCTCCCTGGGATGCCCTTCAGGGTCACATTCCCGTAGGAGCGTGTGGCCGTGGTCGTGCCTGCACTGTGCTAGGCCCTTCACACGTAGTCCCCATTGCAACTCTAACCAACGAGCATTGATGGGCCCACTTCACAGGTGAGGCTGCCCAGGCTGAGAGGGAAGCTTTTTCTTCAAAGTCTTTATCTGACTCTCCAACCCGCCCCCGCCCCCC